TCCCCTGGGGGATGGACCACCTGCGCGGGGTCCTCCTCCGCGTGCAGTGCAATAGCCTGGGCTTCCCCTTCACCGCGGCGGAGACCCTGGGCTGGTCCCTCCAGCAGACGATCTGCATGCTGAACCACAGCTGCGCCCCCAACCTCGCCATCTTCTGCGCCGACGACGCGACCGAGCGGGAGGGCGTTTGGCAGTATTTGACGGGGAAGGAGGCCCGGGCGGGCGCGAATTCCCCCGAAGAGGACCGCGTGGAGGCCCTTCTCCGCGGCTGCATGGCGGTCAAGGCCCTGCGCGATATCGCCCAATACGAGGAACTGACATTGTCCTATGTGGATCTCGAACAGCTCGGGGACTTTGTCGAGGAGCGGTCGTTGAAGTTGGAAGAACGGTATCGTTTTACTTGTGCGTGCTCGCTTTGTCGAGAACAAAGAAGGTACTCGTGGAAAAGGCGGCAGTAGTCCAAATGGAAGCGCTAAATTTATGGACCTAAATTGGGTTCCCTATTTGGGGGGTATAGGGGGTGGGGGGAGTGCATTTGCAACTATCCTACAGAAAAAAAAAGAAAAAAGTTGCATTGTATAGCAAAAAACAGAGTACATAATGAAGACACAGATACACACCGCTCAATAATCGAAGAGTCGGGACAGAGAAAGATATCAGCACGGATCCTGTAAGCGGATTTATAACGGAATAACCTAAAATAAAAAAACAAAATTTAACTATATAGCTGAGTAGCATTCATTTGGTATTAAACTTAAAGACCTAGAATTTTCACTGTTAATCATAACAATATAGAACATGCTCAGCAAGAAGAGAAATAGTATCCAATAGCAAGTTTAATGAACACAAGATAATATTAATCTTCTTGCATGAGAATAATAAAGCAAAACTATTTATTATAATAGTAGATAGAAAGCAAAATATAGAAGGTGAATTTTGACGAGGGTATTTAGCCATGACGTTACCACTAGCACAGTGTGGTTTATAACCCCGATTGAGACTGGTACTTCGAATGCCCTCTGCCGCCAAAGAACTCCTGATCGAAGGGCCAATCGTTGGTCATTGGAAAGACGTCGTCCAACATCGATCGCCCCCGATGGCCCATGCCGAAATTGCCGAAGGTCGACTCTATCTGCGCCATGTGAGCCTCCATGCAGCGGCTCATGCTCTCGAATGGGTCGTTCCTGCCGGCTTGGAAGATCGGGGGCTCGGGATTGCGCCTGGCGACCTCGCGGCGGGCGCGTGGGGCCTCGCCGGGCTCCTCCACAATGGGCTGCCGGGCGATTGCGTTGGGGCTGCCCGCGTTCCCGTTGGGGAGGATCTCCTCCACCCTCGCCTCGTGGTTGGACCGATGGCTCCGGTGGTGGGGGGTCGAGGAGGTGTAGAAGGCCGCCTTCCGTTGGACCACACACCCCTTGCCGTCCTTTTCGTTGTATTGATTGTTGAAGGTGGGGTCGTCTCGGGAGTCGTAGGAGTAGCAGTACAAATGGGAGTTCGATTGGGGGTCGTGTTGGTACATCTGCCGCGCTTTCGTGGTCGCATCCACCCGGGTGTATCGCTCGACGTGGTTGTTGCTGGGATGGCCTGGGTACTTGAGCCTGGATTCGGACGTCCTAGGGACCAGCTCGGCGTTGGGCGTCTTCTTGAGGGCCTTTTCGTCCTCGGTCTTGGGTTTGTTCACCATTTTTTTTTGTCTGTTTGTGTTTAGTAAATATGATAGAAGCTGTTGTTTTATAATCTTTGGATTCTAAAATGAGTGAAATATGGGGGAAAAAAAAAGTAATAGCAAGCAATTGTGGACTGCAAACAGAGACTCCATTAACTCCGATCTTAGATTGTTATTAGGGAGGTGGGGGGAGTTGTAGCCGAATTTTCGTATTGCCATGAATTTTAGTAAAGAAAAATTACAACTTATATATATGATCAAGTATGTGTGTAGTTCAACAATAACAATAGAATGATTTAGCTTCATATGTGTGGGGGTCCCAGACTAGTCGGAGAAGTATGACCTCCGTATTTTTGTGAAAAGAGTAAATAAAGTTTAATCGTGGATGATAAGGGAAAAAACACTTCAATCTACTAAACGTAAATACATTGAAGAAAAGTGGATTGCTAAAGCAAATTACCACTACCACAACACTATGTTTTCAACAATATGTGGGTTAATTCGAAAATTGCCAATTCCTCTTTACGACCTTCACTGAAACAAGCCCCTTGGCCTTGCACTAACCGCCCTTGCGATTATCTCCAAGGGCTTCACACCATGGCCCACCTCCCCAGGGGTAGATCGCTCGCTACGAATAAGGTATGAAAATAGTTTTTTTTTTACCGCAAGATGATGTTTCATTGATA